GGGGGAGGGGCCCCAGGTCCGTGTAAGTGTGTGGCTGGGAGGTTGAATGTAGGAGGGTGGGGCCAGGGAAGCCCTGGGGGAGCAGGCAGCAGGGGGGCTAGTGCTTGCTGCCGACAGGCCCCAAACAGCTCAGATTCAAAAACAAAACAGGCTTTTAAGATGCCAAGTTTGATGAAATCTGAGTGCTGGAAGAGGTGGGAGTTTTCTCTTGGAAAAACAGCTGAAAATTGAGACTGAAAGCTGCGAAGGGAGAAGGGAGATGGGTCTCGGCTCCCAGCTTCCCTTCCAGCCTCAGAGCCTGGGGGCTGGGCTCTTGGCCAAGGTCAGGATACCTTGCTGGGGGTGCCCCCGCCCCAAGCCTGCTCAGAAAGAGGCAGGGTTGAGCCAGCCTTGGTTGTCCTCAGTGCACACAGAACTCGGGGAGCAGGCCCTTCCACCACCCACGAGGTCCCTTCCTGCGTCGGCTGTTTGTGTCCTTGGGTGCATGTGCATGTCTCGGCATTGGTGCTTCCCTGACTGCGTGTCTGCACATGTGTGTGCCCTGGCTCTGCAGGCACAGGCCTCTGGATCGGCCTGCTAAGCCAGCTTTCCACAGGTGCTTGTCCCTGCAGGTGCCCCGCCACACGCACATGAAGGTTTCTGTTTTTGCACCTGTCTCCTTCCGCACATATACTGTGTGTGTCCCTGGCTTTGCATGTGTCTAGGTGTCTGTGTTTGGACAGGGTGAGGCCAGGCTCACAGATGGCACCACCCTAGAGAGCGTGTGCGTGCTTTTGTGTGTGTGTGTGTGTTGTGCCAGTGTGCCTGTACACGCACAGAGACGCCAGGAAGCTGGGTAAATGGGTGAGGAGGTCAAGCTGACAGACGGTGCTCTCCGCCTGGGGACCCTGCAAGGCGTCTCCATCTGTCAACCTCCCCCATGCAGCCCCCTCCCACTGTCCCAGGCGCCTCTGGGCATCCCAAGCGACGCTGGACAAAGGGCCCTATGTGTGCATTGTACGGGCCTCAGTAGCCACCCTTCCCATCATTACAGCAGATTCTTGGTCCGAGCTGACCCCTTTGTGCCCCCAGCCTAGTCTCCATCAGCACCCCACACATGTCACCGTGCTAGCCTCCTCACTGGCCACCACACACACTTACTGGACTCACCCTCCTCCAGGAAGCCATTATGAGAGGAGGAGAAGAAGGTGGTCCAGTTCTCTCGCTGCTGTGGGACCTCAGCCCCTTCTCTGAGCTCTGGGCATTACCCTGTTACTACCTTTGTCCAGCGCGAGCAGCTGGACTTTTCTGGAGAGAAGCATGAGGATACTGCTGTGATGTCTGGAGACCTGGGCAGTGCAGCGCAGAGCCATTCCTGACCACTTGTGCCCACTACGGGTACACTCAGCCGGGTGCGCTCCCCAGTGCTCCTGCTGACCAGCATTCTCCACAGACAGGCATAGACACTTGGGGTCACCGGTCGCCACCCGCCACGCCCCCCCCAACCCTCTTCTGGGGAGTTGGGACTGGTCTCACTCGGTCACTGCAGTTTCCCCTGCAGTGATGTCGCAGAGACATGGCACCCAGCTGCATGACAGTTATGGGGGGAGGTCCCCCAGAGTTCAGAAAGGAGGACATGCCCCCACACACACAGCGCCACCTAAGAGGGATGGGAGGGGCGGCTCCAACTCGGACTACGGATGCGCGTGTGCGCAGCTCACGTGCACGAGCGGCCCTTCCGCCTGGGCGCCCTCCTCTCCACCGTTACCATGGTTACCGGGTGGCCTGCAGGGGGAGGGGCCTTCATCCCCTTGAGTTCTGGCAGCCCCTCCATCCACAGGACTTGTGAGGGGGCCTCAGCGTGACCCGTATTTCCGGTTTTAGAACGTGGGTGCGTGTGGCTGTCCACATGTAGGGGACAACTCCGGTGCACTTTGCAGTAAACAAAAAGACAGCGGCTTGTGCAGGGGGTCTTTCCTGCAGTAGAGGTGGAGCCGCCGAGGGGGAGGGGCGGAGGGCGTGGCATCGGGGGAGGGGCTGAGTGAAGGGGCAGAGACGCTGGACAGTGGCTCAGCTTCACCAGGGATACCCCTCAGCCAGGTCTGCCGCCTGTCTCACCCCAGCCCCAGCACGGGCTTAGCCCTGTGACCTTGGGCAGGCTTCATCATCTCTAAGGCTTGGTAGCAGTTCATAGGGTTTGGGTAAAAAGTACATCATTCTGTTAAATGCCTTTAACGCAGCCGATGCCTGTTAGCGGCTGCCCAGTCAGTGTGTGCAGAATGGAACTGCTAGTCGTGTTTTCCAGACTGCCACCTTTCGGGAACAGGCTGCCAGCCCTTCCTTCTGAAGCACTTCTGGCTTGATTCAACCCTCTAACCCTTGGGCTAGTTGTTAGGCACTTAACAATGCTGTAATGCAAATGGTCCATAGATAAGATGGTTAATCATTCCTCCTATCTGTGCCTCACTTTCCCCCATTGGGCTACATTTGATTGCAGTGATGACGGTGGCCCCAGTCTGAGGATTTGCCCTTGGCCCTGCGCCTGAGTGGTTCCTGCAGGAATTCGGAAAGGGGTGCGTGTGCCAGTCTGGTGCAGAGGTGCAGTTGACAGTGGCATGCTTGGCCCTCAGGCGGGCCAGATGCACAGCAGGCATGGGTACACAGTTGCTGTCCTTGGCCGAGCCCGAATGTGCTGCAGGCCCCCTGGGGGCACGGAAGGAAGAGACCCCAGCGGGTCGCCCCTGCGCGCCTGGAGCCCTCCTGCGAGACACACGTCCCACTCCTTGAGATGGCAGCCTTCCGGGTTTTGCCTAGAAGCCTAGTTGGCACAAGGGACTGGCTTTTGGGTCCCGCTGTTTTATGGAAAGCTCTTAACACATGCCGGCTTGGGCCCTGGCGATGGTGCCTGGGGGATGATTGGAGCCAAGGACGGAGCCATTGAGGGCCAGATAATTGAGGGAAGAAAATTAATTGTCCTTAATTTGGCGTAAATCCCACAGACCTCCCCCGTGTCAGGAATTCCGAGTAGATTCTCGGGACACGGGGCTGCAGACATAGGTACTTCGTCCATGCTCCTTGATGAGGGCCTGGTGGGTCGGATGGGGGCCCACTGACTCTTGGGCCCCACTGGGGTGTCCAGCACTCCTACCAGGCAGGCCTGAGTGCTCCTTTCCATTGCTCAGGACGGCAGGGCAGGCAGGACTGAAATGCAGAAGGAGCTAGATTGGTGCTCTGGTACTCTGGGATGGCTCTCGCTGTTGGGGAAGCAGGAAGGGCAGTCTGTAAAAACTGCTGTGAAAGCAAGTAGCAGCAGGGCCAGAGGGAAGTGTCTCTCACTAGGTACGTCCCCAGGCCCTGCTGTTAGGCAGGCCTCTCGTCTTGCCAGTGTACTGTAATAGGAGAGTCAGAGCATTGTGTGGGCCTGTGAACGGTCAGCATTTAACGTCCAGCATTGATAGGGCTCCAGTTGGGGAGGTGAGGCCATGCTGGAGTCCTCCTGCTCTCTGGCCCCGAGACACCCCCAGTGGGGCCACAGCCTTTTCTGTGCGCCCCCCGGGGGCTAGCAGCAGATTGTGGGAAATCTGGCCCTTCCCTGGTGCGGCTGGCTTCTCATCTCACCCCTGTAAGTCCCTTAGGACTGAGTCTCCAGAGAGTGGTGACCTTCCTGCAGACCTAGACGCGCTCCCCTTCTGAGTATGCCTCATGCCTTTTCCTTGGCGTAGGAATCTGACCCCAGCTAATGTTTCCACGCACCCACCCAGTGCTGGTCGAGTGCCAGGGAAGTGAGAGAAGAGTGCCAGCCTCCTGGCCTCCCCCTCAGTGAAGCCTAGGTGTGCCCGTCCCCCCAGCCCCCTGGAAGGTTGACAAAAGGTAGAATGTTTGCTTTCCCCTGTCAGGGGTGGCTTTCAGGTGTGGGTTGGTGTTGGTGATCACTCCCGGAGTGGAGTGCCAGGAAGGCGAGCCTCTCACAAGCTGGGGAAAGATGGCCCCGAGGCCCTGATCCCCATCCCTGCCTGCCCCCACAGCTAAGTCTGCACCACTGTCAAAACAACACCAGCTAGGATCTGCTAGCACGGGTCCGTGTCAGACACACTCATTCTAGAGCTGTGGTCCTCCGACCCTGCTGTACGGAGTCAAGGGGACACAGAGGATGGGCAAACTCTCCTGGTCCCCAGAGCGAGTTGCTGGTGGCAAAGGGAGGCCCCATTTTGTCTGTGCTAGGCTAGACCCTAGCCTCCCACCTCCTGTACTGCATGCATCTAAGAACTGGTCAGTGGCCTCTCATGTGCCCGCCCTCCGGTTGGCGTGCAGGTTGTGCGCTGTGGCTTTGTGAGGCTGGCCCACCTAGAGCTGCTACTGCTGCTCTCCTGGCAACAAAGTGCCCTGAGCCCAAAGCTCTGGGGGAAGCAGCCAGGTGGAACTTCACCTCCGGTGTCTTCCTGGAAGCCCCAGCCTCCCCATAATTCCACTTGGTCCCCATGTGCTCAGACAGGGAATCGGGGTCGGGGCCGCAGCAGAGAACAGGTCCGGATCAACCTGGGCTCTGCACGGGGGTGGGGGTGGGGGATGAAGAAGCCGAAGGCCGGGTTCTAGGGCTGCGGGAACAGTGCAGACGAGGAGTGAGAATGGCCAGCGTGGGGCCTTCCGGTGTGCTGTGGCGATTGCGCTACATGGGCTGTGGGCTCCCCAACCCTGCCGCCCCTCAGCATTTCTGCTGTGGCCAGCCGAGAGAGAGCCTACCCTGCGGCCCTTCTGCAGGTCCCAGAGAGACGTGTTGCTGAACAAACGGACGCCTGCAAGTGGAGGCTTGGCTTTGTGGCACTCCCGATTCGGAGTCATCTCTTCTGCACGAGTTTCGGGCTTCGAAGTCAAAATGGGGCAGGGATGGATCGGAAGGGTCACAACTGGCCCGGGAGTCTTGGTAGTCCCTGGAAATAGCCCACAGAGGGGCAGCCCTCACGTGCACGTCTGCTCTTTGTCTGCAGAGGACCAGCTGCCTGCTGGCTTCCCCTCCATCGACATGGGACCTCAGCTGAAGGTGGTCGAGAAGGCACGCACGGCCACCATGCTGTGCGCCGCCGGTGGCAACCCAGACCCGGAGATCTCCTGGTTCAAGGACTTCCTCCCAGTGGATCCCACCACCAGCAATGGCCGCATCAAGCAACTGCGTTCAGGTGAGGAGAGGGTGGGGGTCAAAGGGCTGCACAGACATCGCTCGGAACCTTGTCTGACTAGATCCGAGGTTGGCCTCACCTTCCCTCGTGGGCCCTCAGAGCCTAGGGTGGCCGCTGGGTGGGGTGAGCTGGATCTGCTAAAGGCCCACCTGGTCCAGGGAAGAGTTTGACGTGGAGGGTTTATTGTGGACTGTGCTTCACCCTCTCCGGAATGCCGGGCTCTAGGAGCCTTTGGCCCAGACCTGCTCCTTACAGCACTGTGCCTTCGCAGCGTGGCGGGGCCCATGTGAAAGTGTTGCTGTGGGTGATGGCCCTCCAACCTGTCTCCAGACGACAGGGCCTGGCCCAGGAAGAAGGCCAAAGGTGCCTGATTCATCAGCCTTCGAAAAGGCTGGAGCCTGGGGGACCTTGCTGCCCAGCAGGGTGACTGCAGCCCCATCCCCTGGCCACCAGAGCCACCTGTCTCCTGGATGTTTCTGTTGCAGCAGCACGGAATCCTGGGAGCGAGGCTGTTGCCGTGACCTGGCGGGAGGTGTCGCCCCATTGATCGATCTGCCTGTGAGGCTCCCGCCAGGATAATTGATTCCGTTTTTTGTGGGAACAGAGCAGGCGGGAAAGGTGGCTGGGCACTGGCGAGAGGCTGCACTGCGCATCTGCCACCGGCACGGCTCCGCAGACCTGCTCCAGAGGCTCCTGCCAGCCCTGGCACGGTGGGGCCTTGGGCAGGATGGGCAGCAGCCGCCCGAGCCCCTACTACCTCTCAGATGTCGGCCTCGTGAAGATGGAGATAGCTCAGGCCCTGCAGGCTCGAGACACCCTCGCCACTCCTTGGGGTGCCTGTCCCTCCCCGCCAACTCTTGCCAGTCAGACACCCCTGTGGTGCCCGGAGGGAGGAGGGAAAGATGAGCTGCCTAGCAGGGGCAGGGTGGTTCTGGCCCCAGCCACAGTCGCCTGAGACAGCCCATGAAGTGTCAGCTCATTTAATTTAATTAAAACTCAACAAGATGGAGGCAGCTAGAGCACAGTTAATTAAAACAGCCATAATCAAGGCAGGAAAGGGTCCGGCAGGCAGCGTTTGCCGCCACTGCCCGGCCCAGCCCTGCACGGCAGTCAGCATGCTAGGGCTACTCCACGTCTCCTCCCAGGTCCCTGGGGCAGCTCCTCAGGCAGGCGGGCGGTCCTCCCTGCAGGCCTGGACGCTCCCCAGCACGCAGCTGACTGTCAGCAGCTGCAGCTCCAGGCAGGGCCGCTGTGCGCGTGTTCGTTCATCAAGTATTAATGTGCGTGCTGTGGGGCAGGCCCAGCGCCACCCATTCACTCAACTGCCCTACTCTCTGTCCTTGGCCACTCGGCCACCCCTCTCACTTTCCCTGGGCTCCCAGGGCTCTGGCCCTCCTGCTGGGCATCCTGCTTCTCCAGGTGCCCCTGCTCCAGGTCCCTCACCGCAGACTCAGCAGTTCCAAACTCTCTGAGAGAAAGACAGATCTTGCTGCTCCTGTAAAACGTTACAGTCTCAACAAAAAAAAGCTAGTCTCGGGAACCCACAGGGCCAGTCTGCACAGGCCTCGCGGGTCGGCGTGAGTCAGACTGGACTTGAGGACAGTGAGTGTGGATTTGTGGTGCGTCTTCCTCAGCCAGGGGCCAGTGAAGCTGCCTGGCTCCCTGGCACGCTCCACACCACAGCTGGCTCCTTGCCGGTGGCGTCACGTGACTCCACACCAACAGCTCCTTCCCAAACAGCCATGCCCTCCTCTTACTGACCTTGTGCCACAGAGGGACAGCATGGTCCCTGTTCCCCCATCCTGACCCTTCTGCAGAAGCCAGGGAACCGAGTCCTCTTGACTGGTCACCCACCTCTCTCAGATTGACCCACCTGGTTCTTGCCTTTGACCCCGGGAGACCCCGCCTGCCGTCTCCCCCATGTCTGCCCTCGGCAGCTGGCGGGTGGCCTGCTGTGTCTCCCCCCTTGTCTGTCGGCCATTCACTGCCACTGCGACCAGGTACACACTCCTGAGCCAGGTGCATGAGGGCCCTTCTTGTCTCGAGTGGCTTGAGGCGCCTGCGTGAAGTCCTGGGTCCCGGCTTTACCACTCGCAGGCTCGGCTAAGTTGGTTAAGTTACCTGAGCTTCGGTTTTCTCATCTATAGAAAGAAGCTAATGGTGAAGATTAGGTTAGACAGTGGCAGCAAGCGCTCTCCCGCCTGTGTAACCAGCCTGTTATAGGTGGAGCACTTCTTAGCTCCTGCGTCCCCCACCCCAGGCACTGGACCCTGCCAGGCCCAGCACAACCAGGTGCCTCTGAGCCCTTGGTCCATGGATATGCCCTCTCCAAACTTGGGACCTTGGCCCTGTAGATACATGTCCACTTTTCCCCTGCTTTCCAGGTCTACAGAGAACCCGTCTCCTTGTTCAACCTTTCCCGCCATGGGGAACTGTGGCCTATGGGTCATGGGCCTGTGGACCAGCTCCTGGGATGGATGGAGTGACACCTGAGGGCCCTTGGTAATCGCAGGACTTTGCCTCTCACTGGCCCCTGGCTTATTCTCATTCCGTGACCATCTAGCAGGAGGCTGGGGCTGTCGCGTGCAGGTGTTTATAGGGACATCCCTTCATGGATTCGAGTCAGGCCCCAGGCACTTGGCCGTTTGCAGGGACCCTCCACTGTTTACGTGTCGCCCACTGTTAACAAAGTGCTTTCTCACCTTAAGTTGCAGCTGCTTCTCCGGCAGCCCCATGAAGTAGGGCAGGGCTGTGCTTCTCGGGCCCACTTTACAGCTGAGTTAAGGGAGTCACCTGGGGTCACACGTGGAGACGAGGGGCTGGGAGCACTCTTGGGTCACCCAGAGGCTTCCAGCATCACCTCCTTGGAACTTGAGGGCCTGAGAAGGAGCTGGGGCCCATTAGGACCCCACAGCACCACAGACCCATCCTTATTAGCCCGCCAGTACCCAGAAGCCCTCTGGCATCCTGTGGCCTGGGCCACAGCACACCTAACCAGGGCTTGATCAATAGAGCAGGACTTCGGCAGAAGGACAGCTGGCAACATGGGAGGTCCTCTGCGACCAGCCTACCAACCTGCTGCCACAAGTCCCGAGTGGGCACTTTGAACTCAAGGCCCAGGTGGGCCTATGAGGAACGGGGACAGGCTCGAAGAGTGGTCGTCGTCGTCATCATTAAGGGCCATTGAGTGTGTACTGACTCTTGGCGGCCCCTTGCCCGGGCCGAACGATACACCACCCCATCCTGCGCCATCCTCACAATTATTCTGAAAAATTGAGCCCACCAATGGAGCCACTATGCCCATCCATCTTGTGTAGGGTCTTCTTTTTCCCATAGCCCTCTGCCTGACCAAGCGGGGGCCCTTTTCCAGGGACTGGTCTCTCCCGATCATGTGCCCACAGTTCGTGAGACAAGCCTCGGCATCTTTGCCTCTGAGGAGCACTCTGGCCGAACTTCTTCAAGACAGATTTGTTGGCTCTTTGGGGCAGCCCCTGGCCCTCTTCCTTACTCTCCACTAGGACCACAGTTAGAGTGTGTGGATCCTTCTCCGGTCCTCCTTACTCGCTGGCCGCCTCTCACTGCATAGGAGGCCATGGGAAATGCCGTGACGTGGGTCAGGCACACCTCAGTCCTCAATGGGACATCCGTTTCAACACTCTAAAGAGGTCTTGGGCCGCAGATCTAGCCAGTGCAGTGCCTCGTTCTGTCTCCTGGCTGCCGCTTCCTGCAGCATGGCTTGTGGATCCAAGCAAGTCGAAAGCCTTGGCAATTTCCCTCTGTCTTGAAGAAAGTGGAAGTCCAATCACAAGGACCAGCGAGCCGGGACTGGCGTCCACGGGGAGCTGTTGTGGGCCCTCAACAGTCATCCAGTCCTGAACAGAGCCCTGAGGACGAGACTTCCTGTGCGACTTCCTGTGCGCCCGTACCCCCTCCAGGTCCCCTTGTCCCGCTGTCTGGATGTCTGGCCCCCCAGTGACCGAGTGAGTGAGCTGAATCCCCTTCAGCGTCAGGTCCCCTTGACTCCCTGTGTGTTTGTGCTTGCCGGGGAGCAGTCTCCTTCCACAGCCCCTAAGGTGCTGGCACCATGATTGGCAGGCTTCAGGAGGAGAGTCTGGGCTCTGGCTGCAGCAGGAGGCCCCAAGGGACAGGACCCAGAGGGAAATGCCCAGCGTCTCCAGGGGTCCTCTGAGACCCTGCCACCCCTCACTCTGCCCCCACCAGTGAGTCTCTGCCCGGAGGGCATGCTGGCAGTGCCTGCTCACCATTGCATAGCCTCCATCCCCCTTCCGATGCCCCCTCCCACCCCCAGCTCCGGAACTAGGAAGAAGAAATTATGGAGTTGGTGGGAAAGTTACTATTCCCAGAGGCCCCAAGATTTGTCATGTTGAAGCTGGGGTGGGAGGTGTGTGTGTGTGCCAGACCCCAGGAACAGATCCGTGATTCTCTTACTCTCTGGTTCGTTCAAATAAGTGAACTCGAAGGTACTTCTTGTTTGTATGAGCTGTATATCAGTATTTACCTTATTAGATAGCCAGACTGAGAGCATTTTAAATACTTATTAACTCATTTAAAAATAACTTTAAAAACCCATTACTTGCTAACATGAATAACATGGGTTTGTTTGTTTTGGGTGTTTTTTTTTCCTGAAAAATAATTATATTTTCTGAAACAAAACATCCTGTTGGAAGCACGGCATTATTTTACACTTTTGCAAATCTCTTTAATTTCGGGCTTAATGGAAGACAGCTGGATCCTTGTGTCTGCTGGTGTTTTCAGTCGGGGGCCGGATCGCATGTCACACAGCTCACTCTGCTCTGAGTGAGCCTCCCAGACTACCACTCTCAGTGTCATTATGAGAATCGTTTTGACCTTCCGAGCCCCCTGAAAGGGTCTTTAGGAATCCCGAGGGACTCTGGACCACACTTGGACAGTCCCTGTAGTGGTCCTCCCCCAGTAATGTCCCTGCGCCCCTTCACACACACGCGCACCCCAACAGCGTACGGGAGAGGGTCTGGCCCTCCTGTCCAGCTTCTCCCAGCCTCTGCTTCTGCAGGGCAGCCTTGTTCAATGGCACATGAGTCTTTGAGAGCCAGCACACCTGGTCAGCCCCTGCCTCGTCCCTCGCAGGCTGTGTGACCTGGGGCTCTAGGCAAGCCCCTTCACGCTGCTCAGCCTGTTTGCTCGCAGGTTTGCTCCACACCGTGGGTGTGGAGGATCCCCCATGCCGTCAGGCTGCACGAGATAGTGCGCAGTGTTGTATTCAAAGACACCCCAAGTGAGAAGAGGGAGGGCAGGTGGGGTGGATAACGCTGCCCCTGGGCCTCCAGGCTCCCCGCTCCTCGGACCCAGGCAGTGGCCCTGGGCAGCAGCACCTCAGCACCCTGGTGGTGCTGTCTGATAGGCATTGGGCTGGTGACCACGAGGTCCACATTGTAGCCCGTCAGCTGCTCCTGGGCGGAGAGGGGAGGCTGTCTGGTCCTGGAAAGATGGTTCCTTAGCCTCGGGAGTCAGAATCGAACAGAGGGCAGTGGGGGCGGAGGGAGGGGGTGTTGCTCACAACCTCAGAAAGGGCACCTGTTGGGCCTGCGGGCTTCCCGGCGGCTCTGGCCCAAGAGTCCAGAGTAGGTGGTCTTACCCTTGGGGCTCCTGAGGCCCAGGCTGTAAGGCTCTGAGCTGCACGGGGTGGCCTCTGGGCTCTGGCTCTCACCAGTCTGGTTGCAGTCGGCTCAGTGGTATGAGCAGAGCCGAGTGGGCTGTGAGTTGTCGCGAGTCCTGCTAAGGCTGTCTGGGGGATACCTGATCTGGCGGGAACCCCCCTTTAACCCAATCTGTGCGCATAACCCCCCTAGTTGGTGAGTGTTTTGACATGAACTCTCACCTATGGTGAAATTTTCACCCCTCACCCTGTTGGCCTCACCCCGTAGGGTCTCCAGGAGCCCCTCCCCACCTTTTAGATTCCCGTCACCCCAGCCCCTTTGGCCCCTTGCACTGTCCCGCCTCGGCAGCTCCCTGTGAACGGGGACACAGCTTCCCCCACACCCTGCCTGGAGCTTGCTCACACGTCCGCTGCGGCAGCCTGCCTCCGACCTGGCTCTCTGTGTCTGTAGGGCTCTGTCTCGGGTTTTTATTTTTATCTGGTTTGGCTTTCCTTCCTTTTGTACTAATGCTTCTCTCTGATCTTATTTGCATTCAAATTACCTCGCCAGGTGGTTCACCAATCCGAGGTAAGAATGCTGTCCGTGCATCTCGCAACACCACACCACGCCACACCACTGCCGTCACCACCGCTCCATCCCGTCCCGTCCGTCACCTCCCCCATCCCCATCCTGACCTCTCCAGCCTCCTCATCTCCAGCTGCTCCAGCCCCACCCCACCGCCGGCCACCACAAACCTCCAGTCAGCCATTCCCTCCTGTGAGCTCATCCATTACAAGTCTGATGGGTGGGATGCTCGGCTAAGCCCAACTCTGGGGGTGGCCAGCCCTCCTGCCCAGGGCGTCGAGGCCAACCCCCTGCAGGAGAACCTCTGGGTCCCCAATGCTGGCCTCAGGTGGAGCACCGGCCTCTGAGATGGGTGGGCAGGACCGTGCCATGCCTTTCCTCTTGAGGGCAGCATCCCTTTCCCTCTGGAATCTCTCTGATAGCTTGACTTCCCTTGGATAAGAGGCCTGGTGGAGGGGTGGGTTATGCGTCCGGCTGCTGACACTGAAAGATGGGCAGTTCTGAGAGGAAGAGAGGAGACTCTGTGTCCATAGATTCACAGCCTTAGAAACCCTAAGGAGCAACCCTACTCTGTCCTAGAGGCTCACCTGAGTGGTAACCAACTTGCAAGAGTACCGGGTTTAGTTTCGTTTTGAGTCCCCCGGCTCTAAGGTAGACTCACAGGGCAAGGGTGGGTCTGTGGTCGATTGTCACCGTCTTCGAAGGAGCCTTGGACTTGGTTCCAACCAGTCCCCCTCAAGCACAGCTCTTACCACCCACCTGTCGGTGGGGCCCAGGTGTTGCTCTGATGCTAAAGAGTTTCCATGGAGCTTCTAGACTAAGGTGGGCGAGGAAGAAAGGCCTGGTGGTCTGCCTCCGAAAGCCCTGTAGCTCACCACAGATCCCCCTGTGTGAGGTCACCATGCGCCAAAGGCCAGCCCACCAGCAGCTGCCAGCAGCCTTAGCCACGTGGTTGAATCAGAAACCTTGCTGGCATCCCTGCCGCGCCCCTGGAGAATAGAGGGCTGTTGCATTGAGACTAGTGTGGACGCTGGGTACACTCAGGGCCGAATCGAATGCCATGCGTTCTCGTGCAGGCGGTCCTGCAGCATGGAGGTTTACAGATCATTCTGCAGGCATGAAGGTCTGGTTTCAAGTGTGACTTCAGACTCGTGGAACGTGCTCAAAGAAAACAGCCTGATCTCTCGGAAATGTCCCCACTTTTTAAATGTGGGGCAGGGCACCCTCCCTGGGGCTGGGAAAAGGAGGGGAGATGATGAAGGCACTCGTGAGATGGTCGCATTTGTCCCCTACATTGTCTCTAGACTTTTCTGAGAATCCTTGGCAGAGTTCCACTCAGAGCCAGGAGCTGCCAGCTCCCAGCCCTCTGCCTCCTTCACCTGCCTGCTTGCGTGTCCTTTTAGCTGTCCCCCACTGCTAGGTCTTGGTTTGGGTTCCAGATTTTGGGGGGTTTCTGGGAGAGGAGCCCTGGTAGCTTAGTGGTCATGTGTTATGCTGACCACAAGGTCAGCAGTTAAAAAGCACCAGCCTTTCTGTGGGAGAAAGGCGAGGCTTTCTACTCCTATAAAGAGTTGCAGTCTTGGAAACCCACAGGAGCAGTTCCACCCCTTCTTGCAGGGTCGCTACCTATGAGCCAGGATCGACTCCATGGCTGTGAGCTGGTGTTGTTTTTTTCTTGGTATGCAGATGTAAGGTGACCAGACATTCTGCTTTTGGCAGGACAGTCCCGATTTTTAACAATCTTTTCCTGAGTCCCGCGGTGTTTTAAAAAAGTCCCAATTTTTGGAAAGAATTCACGACAAGCTAGGGTATACGGACTGCCATGTGGCTATTTCGCCAAGATATGAGTTTTATTAGTAGTGTCCCAGTTTACCAATGTTAAAATCTAGTCACCTTATGCAGATGGCCACTACGGTTGTTGGGACCCCACCTAGATAGCACCACCTGCTCCCTACCTTGGCCCCAGAGATCAGGCCTCCCCTCCCCTCGAGCTGTAACAACGCCCATCCATTCCATAAACATGACCTGTTGGGGGCCCACCAGGACTCTTCCTCCGGGAAATGGGTGTTTGGCACGTGTTGTGAGATCTGTGTGGAAGGCAGAGGCCAGGACCTGGGTCTGTGGGCAGTCTCAAGGATCCTAGGACCACAGACAGCCAGTCCCTCGTCCTTGGTTGGCTCCTGAGCCTGGGCATCCCTTCTCCCCTTCCAGGTGTCAGCCCCTCCAGCTGTCCTAGGTGTGGATGGTGGAAGAGGGCGGTGTTAGATGGTATCTGACAGGTGTTAGAACGAATGCAGACCCCTGGTGTACCTCCAGGTGTGAGCAAGCAGGCTTGGGCCCTTCCTGTGGCTCCTGCCGGTCCAGCGGGGGTCGGGTAGCTGGTCCTGTCTGTCCTGTGTGGGTGTGCTGTCATTCTGCCTGGGTGGGGTGGGGGCTGCTCGGGTCGCTCGGGCCTCCTGTGCAGGCAGTGGTTTTCTGTCCTGTCCGGGCAATTACCTGTCGGTTGGGCTGTCCTGTGTGGGTGTAATTGTCGGGTTGTTCCCGGGCGGGGAGTGTTGCTTGTGCGAGGGGGGGTGGGTAGTTATTGTGCTCTTGCAGACGGACTGGGGATGTTTATTGTGTATGTGGGGGGTGAGAGGGGGCGTGTAGCCAAATCTAGCCTTTCCAACCCTCACCTCCCCCACCCACACATTTCTTGCCAGGGCTCCTCCACCTGGACCTGGAAAGCCTGGCTTCAGGCCTGTTTCTTCTACTCTGTTGAGGGTCCTCTTCAGTGCCCCCTCACCACCACCACCCCCCCATCCTGGCTCCTGTCTGTCCGGCTGCGGCCAGAACAGCCCCTCAGGGCGCTGGCCCGAGTGGGAGCCTCCTGAATTATGCAGGAGCAGCGGTGGGTCGAAGCACTTTAGCAGGAGGGCGGGGGATTGGCTGGGGCTGGCGGGATGGGAGGAAGGATGGGTGCTGTGGGCCGAGACTGCTAGGCCCCTGGACAAGCCCCTCTCTTGCTGTGGAATCCAGGTGGGTGGCAGATTCTCGGAAGGGCGTTGCATGCCTCTGGACAGGGGTGGCCCCGACATCTCAAGAGGCCACCCCCATGCCTGGCTCGGGCACCTGGCCAGCAGTGCAACATTCAGGGTGATACTTGTTGGCCACCAGGCCCCAGTGCTGGCTGGGGTTGGCCATAGCTCTGGTGGACAAAGGCAGGCCGAGGTTCCAGCCAGAGGGGTCCCTGGGTCCATCAGGGAGAAGTTCCCAGAAACAGTTCCAGAGCCAAGGTGCGTCCTGGATGTACTGCAGCATCTGGTCAGCAGAAGCCACAGATGCTGCCAAGAGCCCACCCCCACCCCCTGTCTCTGGCCGGGCCTGACCTCTCCCTCTGTGTTCCCACAGGTGCCTTGCAGATTGAGAGCAGCGAGGAGTCGGACCAAGGCAAGTACGAGTGTGTGGCCACCAACTCCGCAGGCACACGCTACTCGGCCCCGGCGAACCTGTACGTGCGAGGTAAGGACCCTGTCGCCAGAGCTCAGCTGCATCTGCGGACATGCAAGGACCCCCGGGGCCAGTCTGTCTTTTCTCCCACCTCTTTCTACAACAGCAGTAGCAGCGGCTCCCACAGGGCAGGCCCCTGGCCTCTGCCACCAACGTGCCTTCCTACCCCTGCAGGCCCCTCCTGAAGCATTTGCATCTCTCGTAGGTCGTGCCACGTGGGCCTCGCAACTGTCCAGAGACCTGAGTGGGGTTCACA